ATAGGTTTATAGCTTAATAATTATAAAAGTTTTACTATATATTTATTTTATTTTAAAATTATATTTAAAAATTTTATGTTTATTCCTGTGCATTATTGCATGGGTTTACAACTAGTTTTTTTTAAAAAAATTTGAATGAAATTAATATTTTACTAGTATATGCAATTTACAAATAAAGTTTAATTTTAAATATACTAATGCTTATGAAAATTAATAACAATTGAGGAATTAATAAATGTAGCTCCACAAATAAGATTATTAAGTTCTTGAAAAAATCATTTTGAAATAAGTTAAGTTGCATTGATTCATTTTGTGATAATATTGTTTAAGTTGGTTCATTAAAAGATATGGATGATTCTAAACAAATAGAAAAAAAAATTAATGATAAAAATATAATTTTATTAGTATAAAAAGCAAAAAAAACTTATTAATAAAATTCTTTAATCTTGATACAATGATGATACCAATATGAAACTTGGTAATTCATGTTTATTCATAGTAGTAGCTGTAGAAACTTCTACATATATAATTAAAAAAAAATTTAAATAAAAAGTTATAAATTTTAAAAAAAAAAATTTACAACTATTTGATTTATAATTAATTGCCTTGTTTAAAGCTTGGTATTCAGTTCTTGTACATGTTTAATTGGATATTTATAGAATGCTAATCCTTTTGTGATTTATGGTATAAAATTGACATTGTTTCATAATCAGATAATCTAAGTGCTTTTAAAATTTGAATTAAAGTTTTACACCCAGTTTGATTTGTAATTTTATAACTTGAAATATTAATAATACATAATGCTACTAATTGTTTAAAAAAAGTCTTTGTACTTGATAATCAAATAGAAATACTTGATAGTCAAGTAGAAGTACTTGATAGTCAAATAGAAGTATTAGACAGTCAAGTTGAAGTATTTGATAATCAAGGACCTGACAATCAAGTATCCAATAGCCAAATAGCTAGATTCAAAGAAAATTACCAGCAAGAATTGGAATATTTTATTAATAGACCACATAATCAATGAAGTTGGCCCAATTTTTTAAAACATCTGAATAGCAAAGGGCTTTTAAAAGATAGTGATTGTGTCAACTCTTTATATCCAAGGTGTTTGGAATACATCATGAGTAACTTAACATATATTGAGGAAATGGGAAATAATGCCAAGAAAAAACTTAGTAAAAAAAATTTAGAAGTAAGTTAAATGAGTTTGAATTTTTAATTTCTAAGTATAATATACCGAATTTACTTAGTAGAAATTAATTTTTTATATATTTTTTATTAGAGACAAAAAACGATTGTAAAATGTTTTTGACAAACTTGTCAGTATAATGTAGAATCGTCTGAAGAGGATATGGAGCCAAGTTTATCAAAAGAGCCTATTTATCTTTAAATGGTATTTAAAATTTATCAAAGAAAGCCAGATTGTCTGAAAACAATATAACTATAATTAGTCTTTTTTTTTTTTGTTACTTCTACACTTTTCAAATTAATATTTTTGTGAATATTTATAAAAATGTTTTTAGTTTGCAACAATTAAAAAGCTTATGAATGTTGGAGGAATAGCTTGATATGGTGTAATCTTTCTTCCAGAATTCAACAAAAATGATAATATACGCAAAGAATTTGGTGATTTTGAATAGAAAGAACTTGAAAATGCATTTAATAGAGTAATTATTTTTTTTATTTGAATACTGTATCCTGCCATAATAAGCACCCACCTTTTGCAATTTTCATATCCAAGTTTCTTATGATCTAGTGATCAGATCTGTATAATTTTGATATTATCTGAATTAGCCTATAAAATGATTCAAATAATACCAAAATTACACAGATCTGATTACTAGATCATAAGAAACTTGGGTATGAAAATTGCAAAAGGTGAGTACTTATTTATAGCAGAATACAGTATCTAGTTATATTTCAATTGATAATAAGATAATATATGTTTAAATTAATGCAGAAGTTATATTCCTTACAGAAAAGGTTAAACCTATTTTAAAGGAATATGATGAATCACTAAAAAAGGCTACAGAAAATTATTATGTTGATCTTGATACAGCCTTTATTGTATCTAGTTACCAAAATAACTACAAATTTCGCAAAGATTGGCTGTCTAAATGGGTAGACAGCATATATCAAAAATTGTGAGTTTTTATAATTAACTATTGCTTAATTGTTAATATTATTTATTGACCTTTTATGTTTATAGCCTAACTTGCTTTCAACTTTCCAAGCATGTTTTAAATGATGAAGAAAGCAGCAAATACTAATATAGAAGTTGGTTTGTAAATTTACTTTGTGAAAAAATATTTCTTGATATAAATAATATTATCTAATTAGCAATGTAATTAATTACAGCAAAGCCTCCATAAATATATGCTCTTGGGACTGAGCTTTAACAATGGCATTTAGGGAACAATAATAAAAATGCATTTATAGAGGTCATGCATATACTTGGGCCAGAAGTTGAATGTACATTTAGAGAAGGTATGCATTTATAGAAGATTCACTATATAAGATTAGAGTAACATAAAATTTATATTGGTAATTTGCAGAGTTGAATTATACTTTGAAACATAATTGTATAATAATTAGATGATACCATATAAGTAATCTCTAAAAAGCTATATATTGTAAATTTTTTATAGAGAAGAAGTTGAAAATTTCGATTAATAAGTTCAAAAAGATTTGGCTAAACACCCAGATGAATGAAGGTCTATTGGTTGGTACCACAATAGAGTGCTGAAAATTAATATAAATAATACAGAAATACAAATAAAGTTTCTTGAAGTTATTGGTAATGCTATAGTTGTAGACTATAGAAAAAAGAATAACAATTTTAATAAGGTTTTAAAAGGTAATATTAGAGATTTATACATATTGCATTGCTGTGAAATAACATACAGGGCGAAATTATAAATTCTGACCTAAATTAAGCTTAATTTGGAATAAATCTCAAAATAATGCTCATGGTCATTATTTTGTGATAATATAGTATACATTATATGAAATAATTTAAAACTTATAATTTTTTGAAAAGCTATACATTTAGCATTTTCTTATTTAGAAAAAATTCTACATGAAAAGGGTGTAGATTATGAAGAACTCAAGTATAAACTTGAAATATTCAGAATTATAGTTGATAGTAAGTTAAAATTTTACATATTTGAGATTATAAAAAAATTTATTATATTTTCTAAGTGTTATTTTTTTTAGGAAGACATTTTGTTTTTTATACAATGGAATATTTCGATGGAACATATCTTGTTGATGAGGTATTTTTATTTACACTACCAAATATGCCAACCCAATTATATTTGTTAAAAGATATCATAACTATTTTATTAAATTTTAGAGTAAGTATATTTTAAATTGCAGTTCTTTTATTACATATAATAATATATATTAATGATTTTTTACAAATAGGCCTGTATTGAATGCCTATACAAACAGATAATTACATTGTTAAACATGACCTCCCAACAAAACACACACCCACAATAAATAACAGTCCCAGTTGAAGCTTCTCCTGTTACTTCAAAAACTTGTAGATAAATTTTAATGCAATATCATGTTAATTTTTTTTAGACATTATCTTAGACAGCTTCGCTTTTTTATGTTGTAGTACCTTCAAAATAGATATTTGTTTTTTATGCATAGTCATGACTTAAATATACAAATAATTTGTTAAAAGTTTTTAATAAACATCTATTTACTTAAGACGCTAACATTTATTATTTAATTTCTATTTACTATGAGGGCTCCCCCTCCCCTACATAAGCTTCAACATGATTGGCCAATTTAAAAAGAATTTGGTCCAATTAATTTTCTTTGTGTAATGTAAGATTATTGATATAGTACATGCTTACCCCCTAAAAAAATGTCAGTGACAATACAAATTTACTTTCTATATTCTCATAACTATCCATTTTTCATGTATTTACTAAACTTAACAAAAAATTAAATTTATTTTTGAAAGAGTTATATTAGTAAACAAAGAACAGGTCCTTGATATAGTTAAGTCTTGAATTAAATAAACTTTCAACAGGATATATATATGTATTATGGTCCAAAATAAATATTTGCTCTAAGCTTTGTGTATAGTTGTTAGAAGAAACCTTTTTCGCTTGATAATGAAAGATGAAACCTAAACCCCAAAAGACAAAAGTCAAGACTCTAAATTCTTCTAACGAAAGACGAACTCTTAAACTTAAAATGACGAAACCTAATGCTCTCTCTAAAAAAAAAAAACACACATAAAAAGAAAACAAATGTTATTTAATTGAATTATCTTTCATAATTTATTCAGAGATCAGTATCTGAAATTGCATGTATACTAGCAAAAATAAGCCAATTTATTTTTTTTGGTCAATGCTAGAACCGTTATAGACCAGTTGAATAATCTTGTCAAAAAGCCGCTATAGTACTCATAGAATATCACAAATGATGAATTAAACTATACTGGCACAAAATAAATTTGTAAGATCACAAAGTAAATACCAAGTAATTTCTCACTAGAGCTGATATGTTGTATACTAGTATAATCAAATTGAATACTCATTTCTAACTCCCTTTAAACAATTCAAGCGCCAATTATACAATAAAATTTTTTGTAATTTTTATAAATTTCTGTTTTTGTTATTTTTTTATACACAATCTTTAATGATTTTCAAAAAAGATTTTAATTGACGAAAGACGAAACTAGATTTCGCGTTTTGTATAGCTTTGCGTAGCAGAATTTTGTAAATTTGTCCAAAAACTTGGGATTCATCTAGATATTCTATCAAAATATTCATGATTCAAATAGGATGGAAAGATATTTTCCTTCTCTATCATGATACATCTATAAAAAATTTAAATATTAAATCTAACATCTAATCACAAGTATATCAGGTACATCCCGGGAGTGAGTTTTCCTAATATAATCCAGCAGTTTGTCATAGATCTGCCAAATACCTACAGTATATTGGCAGCATTGATTCTCACTTTCCCGAAGCCTACCTTCCCGAGATACCATTTCCACGACCCTATAATTCCGATATCCCTTTTTCTTGACAAGACATATTTCTGACAGTATATTTTACTGATAGAAATTTTTTGCTGAATTTTTTTTTCCCAACACAACCAATTCCCTGACAACCTGAATTTCTGAAAAATTTATTCGGCAGACTTTTTCATCGACAAAACCCTTTCTCCGAACTCCTGTTCCCTAGACAAAAATTTTTTTTGAAGCCTTTTCGCCGACAAATATTTTCCTAAAAGGATGTTTCTCCAAAAGATATTTTTTCGAAAAGACATTCCTCAAAAAGAAATTTCCCAACAAATTTGCATAGATCAGGCCAACTTAGCATCAACCAGGCTAACTTTGTGGGTGAAATTGCTGTCTGTGAAATGGTTGTCAGCAAATTAGTTTATACCTTTTTTTAGGTTATCAGATGACCCTAGTGCTCGTACCCGGATAACTCTTTATCCAAAAGGTTGTAACCTTTAACAAAATCTAATAATCGGTTTTATATCCTATTCAGATAAAAGGATAACTTATATCCGGATAAGATATTTATATGATTGCTTAATTTATATAAATTGATTAATAAAAAAAATAATTGATATATAAAGTTTGTGTTATACATGCCATTCTAACTCAATATAGCTATCTTTGCTAAAATAAATTTATATTACTCTTTAACCTATTATTTGATTAAAAAATATCCAGTATTTATCCATCTGAAATTTGATACAACAGACTTAATTCTAGTACCATATAATTGCTTTGTGTATAGTAAATATTCACAACTTGAATAATCTATTTCAAATACCTCAGTTTATAAATATTTATTTTCTCTTATATACACAAATATAATAAAATTAAATAAAATGTATTCAAATATCTTGATACCTAATGCCTTATCTATTTTAATTGGTGTAAATAACATGAAGTTAATGAAGTTGTACAAGAATTAATGAATTTAACGAATTAAATTTATTTAGATAAAATGAATACTTATTGAGTAAAATAAATATTCG